TTTATGTCCTAATGCATCATATGGCAAAGTATTTCCTTCAATGCTTCACATCTTGGATGATGCATTCTGTTATTTTGTGAATAACCGCATATTATTATTTAATTATCATACTATACTTACAAGTAAGTTTTCAGGTTTAATATCTCTGTGTACAATATTCAGACTATGTAGATATCCTAAAGCTGTTGCCAGATCTTTGACCATCATAGAGGCATCATGCTCAGTAAACTTAACACTTTCTGTAATGGCATCGAATAGATCACCTCCTTTCACATACTCCATCAATAAATAGATATGGTCCTGTGTCTCATACTCTTCATATAATCGCACAATATTTGGATGATTCACAGCTTTCATTATTCCAACTTCATTCTCTAGCATATGCTCCTTGCCTTTCAGTTTGGATTTATCAATTATTTTCATGGCGTACTCCTCGTCTGAATTCACCAGTTTGGCTTCTTTCACTTCTGCAAAGTTGCCATCACCGATTGTTTTACCGATTTCATAACGAATTAAAATTTTTCCAATGGTTGTTTCAGTTCTTGGGTCAGGTTTATACTTTTTAATGGAAGGAGGTGGTGGCAAAGGTTTCTTTTCTCGTCTCTTTCTTTCTTCTTCTTCTTGTTTCAACAGCTCAGCTTCTCGTCTTCGTAATTCCGCTTCACGTCTGGCCATCTCGTCTTGTTTTGCTTTTTCTCGTCTCTTTTTATCTTCTTCTTCTCTTCTTTTCAACTCGGCTTCTTTTCTTCTCAACTCTTCTTCTTTTGCCGCTAATTCTGCCTCTCTTCGTTTTCTTTCTTCTTCTTCCCGCTTCTTCTTTTCCTCATCATCTGTTTTTTTCTTTCTTGGTTTTTCTTCCTCCTCACCAAAACCACTGTCATTTTTCTCTTTTTCTTTCTTTTTACGACGTAGTTTCTTTGCATATGGATTTTCAGGATATAATTCCTCGATTGATATCTTGTAAACCCTCATCAGTGATCTCCTCTCTTGCTGGCAAAGCAACGAACACATCATCCTCACGAAAGAAGTCAGCAACACCTTTCAGTTCTTTACCTCTTAGTGTATACAATTTGCGAATGCGTTGATTTTTATATTTAGGAACACCAAGAGCCTCAGAAACATCAGCTACAAGTTGTTCAAAACTCTGAATACTCCGTTTGTTCATTAACAAAGACACAACTTTACGTGGTCTTTCATCATTGCCCTTGACAACCCTGATTATTCTTGGTTTCAGAGGACTGGTATCAGAGTAAGTGTGAGCAGTCACCCTTGGTTCAATTGGTCCAATTCCTTGCCTACCTCCAGTGTAAGAAAATGATCCAGGTCCAGAATGTCCAATACCAAATGTACTTTGTCCTGGTCTGTATCCGTATGCTGCTGCAAACTTGCCATGTACTGGATAAGAATAACTAACAGGTGCTCGATATTTTGGTCCAAATACAGTGTATCCACCCCCATACAAGTAATTGTCATTGCCAGGACGATGACCTGTAATAATATATATAATACACGTGACATTATACAGCACTACATGTATCAATTACCCAGAATTCTCTATGATTTTAAACCATTCAACATTGGATTTTTCAAAACTGTTTACTGGCTTATTGAATGCCTAATGAGTTGCTGTATTTATTTTTGAAAAGTATGATGA